AGATCAGGAAGGAGGGAAGAAATTCCACGGCCATTACCGAAGCCCTCTTCCATCTCACGTCCATCAGCAAGGGCTCCTCAACCTTCTACTACTCGACGACCTTCAATTCCTCAGCCTGTGTCACGACCTAGCCTTAATCATCAAGCCCAATCATGGGGGTCTTCTTCTACTTCAGCATCCACACGATCAACTACCAACCATCGTGGAGGTTCCGGATCATCATCATCAGCCCAGTCCATGGACAATCCAAGGTCTAACCCAAACGTTCTGCGTAGGAAGAAGTCATCGTTATCTGGTGATGTCAAGACGACGCGGACTGGCTCATCTCGGACAGACTCTTCTTCTTCTTCGTCCCAGCATAAGCGCCAAGGCTCGCTCGACCCTGCTTTTGGCTTCCATCTGGATAGAGAACTTACCAGCAGTCCTGCCGAGATTCAAATTGCTGAGGTTGTAGAGGTAAAGAAACCTTCCAAATCACCAGTCATCTACCCCGAACTGGACCGTTATCGCAACATTCGACGTCCGTCTGACAGCTCGGACAACCGCATTGAGGTTCCCTTCCGGTTAGCGACACACGATCTCCCACCTCCAACTCCAGCCAGCCTACTGTTTTCTGGAACCAGTGGAAGCCCATCTACTAGGTTCTCCGAGTCACCTGGACCAGGGTCCTATAGTCGTGACACCACGCCAACCTCAATTGCGTCTCAGTCTCCTGGCCTTGTTGCGCCTCTTCGCACTCAGAACAAGAACCGACTACAAAGCCCTATCCTCAACAGACCTCCTGTGACACGAAGAGCTGGTGGAAGTTTCCCTAATGAGGTTGATGCCATCACTGTTGATCCTCATGGCCTCGCAGCTGTCAGAGAGTCTCTGACTTCATCCTCGTCGAACTCTACTGTTCGAGAAGCCACTATCAAGAAGAAGACCAAGAACCTACCTCCTCCTCCACCCAGTCCTCCACCACGGAAGTCATCCCAATACTTTCGTGAGGAGACATCGTCGCCCAAGTCGGTGCGCAAGGTATCAAGACCTGTTTTGCGATCCCCTTCCCCTGAGAGAAGTGCCCAATCCTCCGCCTCCCCAAGAGCCGTGCCCCCTTCACGACCCAGCAGGGATGGCACCCCCGACATGCAATCTCAACTGTTCAACCCCATGCCAGTCATCCATAGCAATCTTTCCACTCAGTCCCTCCCATCAACCGAAAGACGTGGAAGTGAATCTGCGGCTACAGCAGCTTTGTCGCCCCCAAAGCCACAATACTCTCATGGAGGCCGAACAGCATCAACTTCACAGCTCCCCATCAGAGGCGAATTGTACGCTCAATCGGCACCCAAGGCAACAACCGAATCGAAGAAGGGTAAGGGCCTCGAGCCACCTCGAACGACACGCACACCGAGCCCTAATGTGGCGATCTCCTCTTTCTCGCGCTTCCCGTTCTTTAGTCGCAAGAAGCACGCCAACGCAACACAAGCTGAGAAGAATGAGAAGGAAAAGAAGACCATTCGCAAGGGTCCTGTAGCTGGCACAGGCCATGAAGGTTATGGACGCATTGGTGCTTCCAAGAGACGCAGTGGCAGTATCAGCAACATGACACGCAACTCTCCTGGTAGTCAGACAACTCAAGAACCCCGTTCTAGCAATGATTCCTTCTTTGCAGACCGGGTCAACCCAGTGGTTATCGCTGGAGGTGCGGTTATCGAGAATCGAAATGCAAGCTCTGAACTCTCTCGGAGTGTTAGCTCCCAGAGTTTGGCAACCGAGGAGTCGAGATTTGGAAGCACGCAGTCATTGGCAACATCTCAAGATCAGCCTCGAAACACTTTGTGGCCATCACCTATGTCACGCTCCCCACACCCAGCTTTTGGTGCTCGCCGTCCCTCTGAGGGCAGTGATTCTGAAGGCCCTACGATGAAGTCAACTTTGGCTTTCCGAAGATCTGTGCATCGACTCCGATCTTCGCCGGATGACCCCCTGAAGTTGCCTCACCCCATCAACACGTCAGGCTATGCATCGTCGCCTATGACAAGCTTCGATACCAGTGTCATGTCTGACGAGTCCCACTTCGAACTGCAACGGGAGATTTCTCACGAAGCCAAGTCTTCCCACCCTGCACCCAAGAAGCTTGTCAAGAGGCCACGGTCTCCTCGAAAGTGGAACTTGTTTGGAAGATCAACCCAGACGCAGCAGCCTAAGCAGAGCGAGAAAGTCTCGGCTACTGTCAAACCAGTGGAGAAGAAGCCCGTTGCCTTTTACGCCATGATGGATTCGTCAGAGCAAGAGGACAGCGAGCCCATGGACATTCAAGATGTCTTGAGGTTTGCCGAGGTTTACGGAAAGTCACCTAGTGTAGGTGGTACTTCCGAGCTTTCGCAAGGCACACCAGAGATGCGGTCGTCAACCAATTCTCCGGTGCGACCTGCAGAGCCAGCTCAAACCCCCAGGCGGGAGAGTGTCGAGATGAATACCAAGCCTCGGCTGCCTGTACCCCACCAGACTTTGATGTCCAAGAAGCCTACTCTACAGCCTCCGTCAACAAGCACTACTGCTGGTAGACGAAGCCGACTTCCTCAAGTGGGAAGAATCCCCAAGGTTGTGAGTAACCGTACTGAACATGTGTCACCCATGAGCTTTTCCAGGCCTTTCAGAGCTAGTATGCAATTGGCACCCGAGAACCTTGAGGTCTATGATCCTGAATCGATTGCCAAAGGCCCTTCACCTTCTAGGCCTTCGACTCCTGTTCCCGATCTGACTACAGATGGTTCAACAGCAGGAAGCACCAATAACCTCTCATCAAGAGACTCTAACCCTCCTGCTCTGAGCCGGGTTGAAAAAGAGTTCTTGGCCTTCTCGCCTCGCAAGGACTCCGAAGGAACCATTGGTACATCTAGCTCAAGCTGTTCTGGCATTCTTGCTTTCTCTGGCTCTACTGCCGTGATCCCACAGCCTTATGACCCCCCCGCAGAAGATGAGGTGTGGGATGAGTATGATGATCTCCTTGGAGAAGATGCTGGCAAAGCACTTCCTTCGGCAACTTCTTCGCGAGGTACACCGTTCCATCTTGAGACTTATGAGTCCAAGCTAGCTAGCAAGGAGAAGCCCTTGGAGTCGCCGACAATTGTCTTCGATAAAAAGGCAAGCCGACAATCCAAAGCAACAACCATCTCCAGCACTTGCAGCGCTGATATGACTGAACGCCTTCGCGCAGCCTTTCAACCTCACCCAAGCCCCAGCACTCCCTTCTCAGTCTCCAAGTTTGTTTCGGGATATGAGGACCGCAACACCGACACTGATGTTCCTGCGGCTGGTGAAGTATCTCGACGAAGCAGTCGATCTTCCCGCAAGACGAGACTATCTGATGCTAGCTCTTCTTCGGAGGACGGTTCACCACTCGCACAGGTCAACCTCAGAGTTGGTTCAATGACGGTGAGCAAGTGGCTTACCTTCGGGCATGTTCTCTTCAGTGATGTTCGCCATGAACTGGTTCCTGTTGAGGGATCACTGAAGAGGCACTCGATTCTTGTAATTGATGGTCTTGGTAACGATGACTGGTCATTCTACGCTGCGGAAACATATCCGGCTGCTACCTTTTTCAATCTGTCTCCACGCGCTCCTCTTCCTGAAGAACTCAAGAGTTCATCTTCGAGCTTCCCTCTCAGCCCTCCAAACCACCATCAGATCCAATATGTCTCTCACCTCGACAAGTTTCCATTCGCCCCTCAGAGCTTTACGGCTGTTGTGTACCGCTTTCCTGTCGCAGCTCCTGAAGCATACTACCGCAGCATTCTCACTGAAGCTCGCCGTGTACTGAAGCCAGGAGGTTTCATCGAGCTATCCATTCTTGATGTTGACTTGAACAACATGGGCAACAAGGGCCGACGTACAGTCCGCCGCCTCAAAGAGAGGATCAACGAGAAGACGCCTGATACTAGTCTTGGATCAACCGCGGATCTCATTGTTCGGCTTCTCGGCAAGGTTGGTTTCACTACTATCAAGGCAGCACGAGTGGGTGTGCCTGTCGCAAGTTCCGTCACTCGCTCAGACAGCAAGGCCGACAAGGGCAAAGCTACTGCTGAGAAGAAGAAGGATCCGCCAAGCCTATCCGAGATGATGAGCGACAACAGCCCCTTGGCAGACGAGGGCATCACCAAGATGGTCAGTCGCGTTGGCCGATGGTGGTACACACGATGCTACGAAAATGCAGCTGAGAACCCCTCTGGAAAGAGCATCTGGAGCGATAAGGCTCTACTCTCTGAGTCCGAAGAGCTCGGTACAAGCCTGAAGCTCATGGTCTGCTGCGCTCGAGCTCCTCTTGAGCGCATCACCAGTGTCTAAGCACTTAACACAACACATTATTTTCTTCCTCTACTTTTCCTTATCGGTCACAACATTGCGCAAGATACGCAAGTTTAATTGGAAAGCATTACAGGTGGGAAGATTCCATGCGGCGCAAGCCCATTCCTCAGGAAAAGAGGCCATACCACAAGATTGAACCACGGAAAGCAATCTCTATTTCATTTCGTTCCTCTGCAGCAGAGGCATCAGTTCTCTTTTACTTGTTTGATTAATCTTCGGTGCCGCAGGTCGGGTTAGACCACGCACTGGATGCACTGGTATTTCAAGCTACGGGGTTATTTTTTGGGTTCTTAATATGGGGGAAATGCTGGACATGGCACTCCGCAAAATTTGGAAATGGAGTGCAAAGGATTGGGGTTAAAAAAGAAAGACGGGATAGGGATGATTATGAAGTCTTGATGATTGAATGTGAGGAGGAGATACGACTTGATATTTGAGCATGTTGCATAGAGATACCCATTCATGCTTTGGGGAGCCAGAACGAGATAGCAAGCGGCATTACTGTTCTTCCACTCTTATTACATTCGTTGCTTCGTCTATTGTTTGCCTTGTATGTGTCTAGACTACAAGTTTAAAAGTCGGCTTCAAAGTCTACTATGCAGATTGTGTTGTGCAAGATTTATAGATTGTTAAAAGATTCATGAACATCATTCAGTCTTCGCTGGCTCAGCCTCCACGGTGCCCTCAGCTTCACAAACTACCCCATCCTCAAATTCGGGCTCAACTTCAGAAGGACTCTCCTGTGTGGAGGACTCAATTTGCGAGCGTATCCGATCAACAGGCCATCGCCGGAGAACAGCTACAAACCCACCACCAGTGACTCGCTCACCCACCTTGGGTCGCATCACCTGTACTGCAGCGCCTTCAGGGTTTTCTCTAGGAATCACGGTTTTAACATCCCACTCCTTGCCACCACCAGAATCGAGAACACCGTCGGCCGTCGTCGAAACCTCAAGTTCAATGACCCTCTCGGGACGCATGGGCTGTCCTGTGCGAGCAACCCAAGTTTGGAACTCAGCGATTTGACTAATGGAGGGTGTGAAGATGACAAGAAGGCCGTTAGGGTGGAGGGCTTGAATAACCTGGGAAGCGTGGTCGTGAGCGGAAGGGAGGTCGAGGATTGCATGAGACAAGAAAGGCCGGTTGTCCGTCTCTGCCAGACGGGACGAGATATACTCGTCTATGGAGCCCACATGGAAGTCTATAGTAGGGAAGTACAAAGAGCGGCGGAAGTGGCGAATTAGTTTATGTGCTGCGCGCGAGTGTTTAACGTTACGGTCAAGGGTATGCAACACGGCGCGACGGCTGGACCGGTAAGAGTCGAGGGCAGCCTGGTCCTCATCGGCAAGATCAAGACCAAACCCATCGGTCCTGTACCGTGCCGTGCAGAGGGTGTTACGCAGGCTTGGAGGTACAGCTGGATTTGCTGCATGAAGAGCACGAGCGAGGTGTAGCGTCAAGCTCCCCATTCCCGTACCAGCCTCAAATATCTCAAACGGCTCCGTTGGATGATTGGGATCTGTGTCGTATTCTTCTTCGCCAGGCCGGGAAAGGTTTAAATCGAGGAGCGACACGATGGTATTCGCATGGTGGGGATAGATCTAAGGGTCGATCCCATATCAGTAACAGTGGTTGAGTTCCATTGGCATTGTATCGTACCGGTGTGGCCTGTCGCGGGCTGTTAATGATGTATGAAGCCAAGGTCGGCTCGTGAAGAGTAACAGGGCGTCCTGAGCTATCATTTAGAACATCAAGCACTCGACGACCAAGAAGTTCGGATGAATTGATAGAAGCACCATAACCAAGTCTTATTTTCGTATCGGCGCGGAGAGGGGACGTAAGATGCCATTTGGGAGCTTTGATACCCTGTTGGCGCAGGAAGAGAACGTCATTTTCTGGAGGACCTTGGGGTTAGCATCCATGATGAGACTCTGGGAGGGCAAAGGCGGGAATTGACTTACTTTGGATGGTGCGCGATGAAGAACAGAATCGTTTTGGGGGGGTAGAACAGATGCCCGCGAGGGCTGAAGGGTGGAAACGGCGCATGATGGGGGCTTGAGCGGTGGAGAGGTTGTCATGATGAGGATCTGTAGAGGTTTTCGTTTTGCGCCGGGCATAGCTCGGAAATAATTTGCAGGGAGCATGGCTACGGCGTCCATCTGAACCTCAGAGGTGATGTAGGAAGGCGTAAATACCAAGGACCTTAGTTGATGTTGTCGGAAGGAGTTGTTGGAAACCAATAAAATTTATATATGTTTTGTAGATGAATGTCTATTTGTATTACCTGATTTCACTACCAAGGTATCGACTTGTAATTTTGGCCCAGGGTATCGCCTTCCCTCGTTGTGGAGGGGTTGTTCATATCCTTACTTCCTTCCTTCCTTCCTTCCTTCCTTCCTTCCTTCCTTCCTTCTAACCTTAAGGGAAAGTTCCAAACCTTCGCGCCTGCCTTGCACCTTCTCAATGTAACCCTCTTCATTTCTCTTTAGAGCGCCATCATTTTGAAGACCCCCAAACTCCAGCATCTCCCAACCCCGTCTCGTCTCGTCTCATCAATACCCGGCGCGTCAGTTACTATTATACAATGGGGGATGTCATATCATAATCGACCAAAACCAAAATGTTCAAGCACGTTCCCCCCAATTCCTGCTGCGCTGTGCTGGCTAACGCAAACCCCAAAGAATAAACGCCGGTCCATGAGACGTTAAAACCCACAAAGAAAAGATATGCTTGCTCGGTACCAGACTCCAGGCTGTGTACTCATCAATGGGATCATGATCGAATCCAAAGTTATCGGTGCCAAGATATGTACGTATACTGGCAACACTTGTGGTAAGTAGTATATCGTGCAGTCGTTGAAGCCGCCTCCGTCACCAATAGATACTTGTTGAAAACACCGGCTTTGTCGAATTACATACGCCGGATCCTGACACTGTACATCAGGACCAAGAACAATAAACCATCTGAGATCCTGCTCAGATGAACGAATATTTTGAGCTCGACATTTGCTGCCCCATCGCGGCCGCCCACGAGTCCTGTGCTTGGAGCTGTTGTGGGCGTTGCTGCTGCTGTGACTGCCGATGCTGATATTGGTGGCTCTGCTGCTGCTGGCGTTGCTGGTGCTGATGAGGAATATGTTCTGGTGCGTGCTCCGTGGTATGGAAGTCCTCCTCGAAGTACACGACAACGCGAACACCGACATGTTCCTCGAGGAATTGAACACCAGAATCGTATCGACGCCGACAGCGCTTCGTCCAAGGATCAACCTTGACGGGACTATGATAGCAGAACATGTTTGGTTGCTGGCTACGAATAGGGAATAGAAGTCCCATGCCTCTCATATGATGCCAGAGGTCGATCGTTGCTTGCTTAGTCGCATTAGATTGAGGGTGCGCCGCGAACATTAACTGGACAATTGTATATCGCAGAACGAGGACATCAACGCTTTCAGGGCCTAGTCGTTGCTCCATTTGTCGCTGCAGCAGTCGCAGTTCTCCCACCAACTTCTCCAGTCGCTCTTGATTCACATGGTTATAAAACATGGCGAGGTCAACCCATGTTCGAGCCACATAGGGATGTTTGCGACCATAAATGGCCTCCAGCTCCTCAGCAATGGTTGGAATGCTTCCCCACAGCAGTTCCGATAGCGTGCCTGGTCCATGCTTCTGTTGCACCTCATATAAACAAGAGAAGATCTGCCGCAGGGGATGTGACCTCTCGAAGTTGGTCGTCGAGTAAGCCGCCAAATACTTGCAGAGCGCCGTCATCATTCCTGGATCGCGATGAACCATACCCAGGAGCAACTCCTTGATTCCCTGAGGAGACAGCTTCTTGAGATCTGATTCGAGCTGTTGGAAAGCCTTCATCAGAAAATGACCACCCTGATCGTGGTCCTTCATCTCGAAATAGTGGTTAGCCTCGAGAAGAAGATCACTTGAGCCCGCTCCCCACACCATGATAGTTTGCCATCCGACTTGGGCGTCAGTCTCGACTTCGAATTGTCGACATTGCAAGAACGCCTTTCTCATGTTGCTGATAATGATTTCTTGGGCCCGAAGGAGATCTGGAGATTGAAGATACCCTGGTGTTGGAGGCGGAGTTGGAGTTCTGCATCTAATGTGAGCCGGCAAATCGGCAGGCAGTTCGAAATCGACCAAGTCGTACTCGGTAACACCCTTTCTCTTCAAGTAGGTGCCCAGGTTGACAACCTTGCCGTTACGAACGAATTCGGACACCTTGCCCTCGGCGTCACGCTGGAATTTCATGGACAGCAGGCGCTTTACTTCCTCTTCGGTATTATTCTTCACAAAGCCCCATTGCGAGAATCGAGTCTTGTACATTTTTGGTCTGCAAAGGGTGAGTTATGGCACTCAGTGGGAGACGAAAAGGAACTTACGTTGCCTGGAAGCCATACTGGTCGGCCATGACAGACATGACCTCTTTAAGTGGTTTCCTTTCCTCGAGATACAGTTTACGAATTGTGTGCTTGAAGGATTCCCATGCCTCAGCCGGAACCTGCTCTCTTGAAGGACGGGTTCCTGCTTGAGATCGTTGAGATACAGAAGTTCTTCGTTCATTCTGAGAAAAGTTAGCAATGGGCACCCTCGCTCTAAATTTCACGAAACATACCGGAGGCAGCATGGAGGAGGTAGAGGCTTGTGAAAGTTGTGGTGTAGAGGGTTCCTGCTTAATAGGAGGGCTAAAAGGTCCAGGTGTGGACATTGATGATCGGGAGGGTTGTCGAACAGGCCTGGGTGGTTTGACAGGCGGCTTCGCAGGCGCCTTGCCTTTAGCGTTAAAGGTGGAATTGGTATTGAAATCCAAGACCAGCTGGCTTCCGGCGTTCATCACGGGTTTAGGTGTAGAGGGGATCGGGGGTTTTGCGAAATAGCCGGAATTTGAGGAAGCACTGCTGCCTTGTGGTTGATCCAAGGAGGGTTTAGAAGTCATTGGTACTGGTGGTCGCCATATGGCGAATCCAGGTGTACCCGGCACACCTGGGGTAACTGGACCGGGTGAGGTGATTTTGGCGTTCATGCTAGAATTTGGCATCATTGAAGGCCCAGCCATGGATACTGTCTCCATTGGGGTCGTCACTCTATTGTTGTTCATCATGAAACTGTTCATACTTCCGAAAGGACCGGACGGCGAACCCACACCTGGACTGTGGACTGGAATATCATGAAATCCGCCAAAAGCGAGGGCGGGCGGCGGGCTAACGATCGGACTGGTGACTCTTGAATGACCACTCAAGAGTCCATAGTTGGGCTCTGCAGGACTGGCGAGAGGACTTGTAACGATAGGCGAGGTGACACTGAAGTTTCCGAACGGCGAGGAAACGGGAGGCTCTTGATGTACTGGGCTTGTTACGACGTTCGATGGTCTTGGAGGTAGAGGGGGCGCAAAGGATTTGTTCTCGAAATGTGCAACCAGACGTCCGACGCCACCTCCTCCACCATGGGAAGAGCTCATGTTATCGAGTTCGACATCTTGAGACATGGGGTCGTGTTGATCGAATCGCATGTCATATTCTGCTGATGGAGTTGGCGCCCAATCCATGCCGGACGAGTCGCCATAGGATGCGCCGCCATCGTGATATGATTGCGAGTTTCCCGTCGAGAAACTATTTGTGTTGTTATTGTTCATGGTGAACCTGTGCCAGCCTTGGTCGGCGAAACCATACGACGGATCCTCATTGTTATCGGAAGGGCGAGGCCCGCCTGCTGAATGGTTAAACATGTCGCCGGTGATGCCCAGGCCGGACGTGAGAGGCCCGGTCTGCTGGCTGAAAGGCAGTCAATGACGGACTGAGGCGAGTCGAAGGCCTCGGCTGTGTCCTCAGTCGCCAATGCGAGAATTCATCACTCGTTAATGTGGCGAGCGGGAGAGCTCAGATGGAGGTTCAAGAACGGGAGGATGAATAGGCGGGCAGAAACGCCCATGACTATCGGTACGTATAATAATAAGGAAGAGCGCTCGAACGGACGGTACAGGCAAGAGCGAACAGAACCAAACCAAGAACGACAACCCAGCGGACACTACCAGGACTGGGGTGTCTGCCGCCTGTAGAACAGTGCAGTGAGTCGCACCAAAGCAATGGCCAGAGCTTGCTAACGTTATCGTTCCCCAGACTTGACGCAGCAGCTAGACAAGATATGGGCGGTGCTGTGATAGGACCATCAATGCAATGGGAGCCAGAAAAAAGACGGGGAGCGTCCACGGCCAGAACGCCAAGTAATGCGCGTGAGAGAGCGCCAGCAAAAGTTCCTTCGCCAAAATTTCCCAGAAAGGCAACCCAATATGTTGTCTAGACTCTAGAGGAGGCTGGAGTGGGCTCTTTGAGGGAGATAAGAGAGCAACAGACATGTCCTCGGTTCAGCAGTTCCGAGGGTTTATGGTTAAAACCAAACGCGGTCAAAAATCGTTCAGGCACAGCTAAAACGCAGCAGCAATGACTCTCAAAACCAACGACTCGAGGAACAAGGCAGTGCAGAGGCGATAATAGAGAGGACGACCTCGAGAGGACGAATTATGAATTGTGAGATTCAGCAGCACAGAGAAAGAAGGGCCGATAAGGCTACACTAGCAGACTAGAAACTTAGAAAGACAACGCCATCGCCGGGGTCCATGATACTCAACCAGTGAGATGAAAGCTTTCAGGGGTGCGCTTGTGAGAGCATGCGACCAAACGACCAAAAGCAGAAGGTGGACAAGACGGAGACACCACCATAACTTAGAAGCACCAATCACATTGACTCGATACGGCTCTGGGGGCTCGTACCGACAGGGAAATCTGCCGAGGGCATGAGCATTCCAGTGTGTTATCCTGTGTTTGTGCTCTGAGAACATTGAGTTCTAAGATATTCCAGAAGGTCTCGTTATCTTGGTATTCTCTCTCAGCTCGGCTGAATCAAAGGCACCACGAGAGACAAGACGCAGCTCTGTCCCCCTGAGTTTTTCAGGTGCTGCAAGAGTGACAACACGATCGGCACGGCACATTCGGTGGACAAGAGGAAATGGGAATGGTTTCGGACAAGCCTGGGACTTGGACTTGAACTTGGAAACTTTACTGGCCGTCCGATCGCTTCGGCCGTGGCGCACGCCACTGTCTGTTCGACCTGCTGTTTCTGAGGCCACACCGTGA